CAGAGACAGCAGAAGAAAGAAGCCACAGAACTTCTAGAGATTGCAGTGGTAGCAGAGGTAGTCGAATGGCAGGCCAATGACAGCCGAGCAATCAGCTGGCCCAGCTGCAAAAGCAGCAAGGCAACCAGCTGTTTGACAGCAGCCATGCAAGAAAGAAGAAAGGTAATAGAAAACATTCAAGAAAGGGTAGGAAGCTAAAGGTGAGGAAGGATAAAAGATGTGAAGGAGACAGAGCAGGGGTCGGGGGAGGTAGATAGTAGTTGCAAGAATTCCAGAAAACTTTAATGTCTTCAAGGTTCTAAATCTCTCAGTATCTAGGCCAAGAGCACTAACAGTGACTGGTGCTAAGGACTGAGGAATCCTGAAAGCACAGGCCTATTCAGGAGATATAGTACTGACTGCTCCTGATACCTGAGGAATTCCGACTTTCTAAGCCTAAACAAGAGCTGTGATGGACCTATGGGTCCCCATATAAAAGGCTGGTATGAGGGTTGTAACATCAGAGGGAACTGATTGCTGCTGCTTTCATTTGCTCACTGGTGCCAAGAAATAACAGAGACCAGCATTTAAGCAGTGTCCTCTCTTTTTTTTTCTTTTTTAAATTAAATGTTTATTTTCTTATATTAATTACAGTTTATTCACTTTGTACCCCAGCTATATATTCCTCCCTTATTCCCTCCCAACCCCACCGTCCCTCCCTCATCTACTTCCATGCCTCTCTCCAAGTCCACTGATAGGAAGGGTAGGAGGTCCTCCTACCCTTCCATCTGACCTTAGCCTATCAGGTCTCATCAGGACTGTCTTCATTGTCTCCTCCTCTGTGGCCTGATAAGGCTGTTCACCCCTCAGAGGGCAGTGATCAAGGAGAGGGCCACTGAGTTCATGTCAGAGACAGTTCGTGTTCCCCTTACTAGGAAACCCACTTGGAAACTGAAAAACTGCTGCATCCTCTCTTTATCCTCCCAAAATACCTATCTAGTGAAAGCAAAAGCACTCCCATTGACTTGCTTGGGAACAGCATTGTTTTCAAATGACCTGAGAAAATGAACTTAACAGGAGAAAATGTTTATTTCATCTCATACTTTTCATGGTTACTATGTCCAACAAAATAAAAATGTGAGGAACATGCACCTCAAGCCTCCTTATCCAATGATAACTACAAAAAAAAAAAAAAAGGTGTGTGGGAGCAAGATGTAGAGAAAGGGCTAGAATCCCAATATTTCCTTCAAGGGCCTGTCCTCAAGTAGCATAATGTCTTTTCCCCACACCCTGTCTCCTGAAGTTCCCACCTCGGCTGACCAACTATCTAACACACAAGCCTTCGGTGGACTCCTTACATTTCAGTTCATAGCAGAGAATTTCATGAGTGTTTCCCTGTAATAATTTATTGATATTTCAGTTTCAGTTTGTATTTTAGGTAATCCTCTCCTGTGTTACGTTTAATAAAAAGTCTTCTGAAAAAAAAAAAAGGCGTCAAACTTTTTAAAACTTAAATAAAAGATAGAATCGTGAGTGCAGAAAACATTTTAAGAAATTTTGTTTCTCAGCATCTGCTTTGATCCCCTGTTGGGGAGCACAGGGACTCTTATGGAAGAAGGGGGAATGGAAGGACAGGAGGGGGCAGGGACCTTACAAGGAAACCTACAAAGATAAAAATCTGAGCCTAGGGGGTCATGCAGAGACTGATGTACCAATCAAGGACCATGCATGGAGAGGACCTAACCTCCTGCTCAGATGTAGCCAATTGGCAGCTCAGTCTCCATGTGGGTTGCCAAGTAAGGGGAGTGGGGGCTGCCTATGTCATAAACTTGGTTGCCTGCTCTTTGATCCCTTCCCCCTGGTAGTGTGAGCTTGCCAGGCCACAAAGGAAGAGGATCCAGGCAGTCCTGATGAGACTTGATAAGCTATGGGTAGACAGCAAAGGAGAACTTTCCCTTTCAATGGTAGAAGAGAAGGGAATAGGAGGGAACTGGAAGGGACTGGGAGGAGTTTAGGAAGGAGTCTTTAATCAGGATATATAATGAATAAATTGTAAAATAAAAATAGAAATTAAAAAAAAACAAAAAAGAAATTTTGTTTCAAAGGAGAACAGAGAAACAAAGTAGTGAATATTTGGGCAACATATACAAGAGAGGTATTGTCTAGAGAAAACATTCCAGTAGAAAATATATGTAAAATATGAGAATGTAGCTTAAGGTAGGCTAAGGGTCCAATTTTTATCTTCTGAATTCTACACAAATACTCATTGTTCTATGTGCTAGCTAGTTAGCATTAACCAAAAAGAGATAACTCTCTTTGGAGAATATAAATTGCAATGAAGTAGATTACAACATGTGTTGGAAAATGACACACCAACCAATAGAGGTCCTAGGTTTTCAAAACCAGAAGAAGGAGGGAGAGGAAAAGAGAATGCAAGAGATATGTAGGAAAATGGATAATTGGAGATCTTTGAAAAACTAATTAGTGGTGCAACCCAGGGAATTAGTAGAAATGTTGACATTGAATAGGAGTATAAGCACTTATCTGAGGAAAAGGGGAATCTACGTTGCAAAGAAATTCTAGAAGGTAGTAATCTACAAGTGTTGTGTCCAATAGCTTCTATTTCCTTTGAGGAGAAAGCACTGACTGGAAGCTACTAGCTAAAAATATGAGTAAAAATTAGGATAACAAGGAGAAAACAAGGTATAGCGTAGGCTCCAGAGAGCTGATCTAATCACCAGTTAGCCAATGGAGGCATCTGCAAGTTAGTGGACGTGCACAAAAGAAGCAAAAGAATATGAACTGTGTATTTTCGCAGCCCTATCCAGCTTTACTAACATAGGTTTTTATTTTAACAAGCATATAAAGATACACAGGCATAAGTAAAACATTGTAAACTATGTAAACTATGTCTATTCATATGTAAATGTACACTGATATCTCACAGTGCATGTGTTACAGCATGTCTTACTTTTTTAACATATAGGTTCCAACAGTCACTTATCTGTCTTTGTTCCTTTACCTCACTTTATTCCAGGAAGCTCAAATACTGCTGGTCATAGAGAAGATTCTCTACAATTAACAAACAACAAATAACTCAACAGGACTGTTTAAAAGGTATCTTTTGATTTCAACACAGAGGTTTCTAGTAAGTCTTTCAGCTCTTTGATTCATTTAACAAACAGCTATCCTGGGATTGCAAGGACAATGAAGTTAAAACATCAAGCAAACTCTTGTAACTAGTGTTTCAGTCACAATATATTCAATGTTATAAAACAAAAACAAAACATGCAAGTAAATTTGATGATTGGATTATTTCAGTTGTCTCCCACAAACTGTGATTTGGAAATTGTTGTGTTGAACAATAACTGATTCATTTAGCTCACTAAAAGAACTTCATGATGAATAAATATAAATGTAATAATATAAATATAAAATAAAGTTTTAAAAGTATTAAATTTAAATTTCAGAGCACTGTGTAGCAGTTTACTTCCAGAAGATTGCTGTTTTTTTGTCTTTTTTTGTTTTGTTTTGTTTTAAGTGTAAATTCACTACTTTGGACAACAATAGCAAAGGCAGCAGCATCTAATATGACAGTGACATGAAACCAGGGTGGGAGGTGGAAAATATATTTGGTGGTGGACTCACAGTAGAAAGGATTTTGACAGTCTAAAGCATTGTATTCAATCTTTAAGGTAAAATTTAATAAGAAAATATGTGTAGTGCCTCCCGAGGCTTTACAATAAACAACAGCAAAAGTAGAGCATGGGGGAAATTTGGCTGAGCAGAGCCCAGGTGAAAATAACAATTGTTTTAGCTGGCAATTGGCTCAATGAGATCCTGTAATGAGATGGAATTATCCCCAGAAGAGCTAGTGTGATTTTAAGATGTATTAATAAAAATATATCTTGAATAAATGAGATGACAATGTTCTCTGCTCTGTACTACTGAGAACACACACAGTATACTCATTTAACTTTAAACACCACAATTTAAGGCAAGTAGAACATCTTTAGAGGACATTGTATAAGAAAGTGAAAACACTGATGAGAACTGATAGACTAAGATCAGAAAGAAGGAGAGGAGGACCTCCCCTATCAGTGGACTTGGGGAGGGGCATGCATGCATGCAGAAAGGGGGGAAGAGTGGGACCTGGAGGGGAGGGGGGAGGGGCTTATGGGGGGATACAAAATGAATAAAGTGTAATTAATAAAACTTAAAAAAATGAAATGAGTTTGGTTTTTTGGTTTTTTGTTTTTGTTTTTTTGTTTTTAAGTTCCAGCTCCTAACTCAGGAGCAAACTGACTAGAAGAAAACAGTCTGCCTTGACACTTTTAACAACTGCATGTACAAAAGGAATCCCACGCATGTATTATGACTTAAGTATTACAAGGGGGCAATGGCAAGACACAGTAAGATATATACTGGCTTAATTGTAATAGGGAATTCAGCCGAGTCTTAAACACAATAACTTGTGAGGTGGGGAAGCCTATTTATGCCAACAATTTCTGCTTTCAAAGTTATAAAATGGAACTTTCCATTGGACCAGATCCACACTTTGTCTGTGAGAGAATCCTCTGGTGACTTCCTTCAGTCATGCAGAGCAAGATGTGAGCTTGCTGATTGTTCCTCAGGGAGGCCAGATCAGCTGCAATATTTCAGAACCATTGAACCATCAGGTGCTCTGATCATAGCTAAAAAGGATTTGGTTGTTGAGTTTGGGTCTTCCTTCATTTGCTCATAGGGGAGCTGGAAACTGAATACAGATCAAACATTGAATCTTCCTGCCAATCCACGAATGAGGACCTGGATGTGTCAGATAATGTTCACATCTCAGCCTGACAACCAAATTGTCCCTGTGCTGTTCTGCCTGGCACTGATCTACGTGCCTATTTCACCATGGGAAAACAGAAGGTTCTTTCCACAGAAGTCTGTTTGCCTGTAAGATTTTTTCTTAGGTTGATTCAGCTTTCATTTCAGTAAGATCTACTTTACCACGAGTTTCTCAGCCCAATACTCACTCTGGAATCCTGCCATCTTTCATCTTCTCTTCTCCCTCCTCCTGTGTTACTTCTTCATATCACTTGTCATTCCAACACATACTGTATGTACTTCCTTGGAGTTTATATTCTTCAAAGAAACTTTTTTCTCTTTTGCTTACTGCTAATTACTCAGCATGTAGAACCACACCTAGCAACAATAGACAAGGAGTGAGAATTTGTCATTAAATTAAAAACCTCTAGAAATTTCTAGAATATGCCTTATCTAGGTGACTCCCCAAAAAGGCAGTAGTTATCCTCTAGTGAACTTTATTTTACAAACTGTCTATAGGTGGGAAGAATTTGGCACAAGTGTCTATTCGTTTTCAGACCATGGTTGCAAAGACATAGACTTGTGCTGAGACTGAAAGGAGAAAATTTATTGACCAACTTGGACTGAAAACAGGCATATCATTAGAAATGTGCTGCTCACCTCAAGAAACAAGTGATGAGCTCAGCAGAGCTTGGTAAGAAAGGGCTCCAAAAGGTAGCCAGTATTGTGGTGCATCAGCTAAGCTGGTTTGCCTCTGTATGGTCTATACCCGTAACAAATAACAGCAAAAGTCTCTGGGAATTTTGTTGGTGGTGGTTGGTTGGTAGGTTAGTTGGTAGGTAGTGTTTTATTTATTTAGTTAGTTGTTTGTTTGTTTGTTTCTTTGTTAGGGTGCATAAAGTATATCATGGTCAGTATACATAAATATCGGCTTAAAAAAAAAAAAAACAAAAAACCTTCCATTAGAGGAAGTCATCTAAGAAGCTGCAAATGAAACATTCCCTAATACAAGGGTTCTCACTAGCCAGATTGATTTTAGAGTTCTTATCAGAAAATGTGAAAAGTAAACACGACCATGGTTTTTTTTTTTTTTTTTTTTTTTTTTTTTTTTTTTTTTTTTTTTTTTTGTTTTTTTTTTTTTTTTTTTTTTTTTTTTTTTTTTTTTTTTTTTTTTTGTCTTTTGTGCTGATCTTGGTCCCTTGAACCTTTGTCCCCATAGGAGACTGGGGAATACCGTACTCATTTTGTATCCAATGGAACTTTCATAAGAGGACAGTCTCAAACTTTTAGTACCTGCATCAGTAAAAAAGTCAAGTTCACAACTGAGGGGAGAGCAGCCCTACCAGGCCACAGAAGATGAACAATGCAGCCATTCCTGATGGGATCTGATAGACTAAGATCAGAAGGAAGGAGAGGAGGACCTCTCCTATCAGTGGACTTGGGAGGGGCAAGCGAGAAGAAGGGGGAGGGAGGGTGGGGCTGGGAGGGGAGGAGGGGGGTCTTATGGGGGGATATAAAGTGAATAAACTGTAATTAATAAAAAGTAAAAAATAAAAAAGTCAAGTTTGCCAAGTAACATTCTCATCATGAGAAAGGGATTCAATTAATGGATCAGGGAAAAGTTTATGGAAAGGAAAAAACTTAAGATGATCTTATGGATAGAGCCCTTGAGACAATTTAATGTACTGTTTTTGTTACTTCTCTACTGTAATTATAAAAGAAAGTAATGCACTATATTCTTCTACTCCTCCATCTCGTTGGTGCCAGAATAAGTTCTCCTGATTGAGAAGATCTGAATGTATAAACAACTAATAGCGCCCAAGGCCACACTATCAACAGACAGTTTAACTTAAACTTCTTTGTAACTAGCAAGTTTGCCATGTAAAAAGTGGGAAAGCCACTACCCAGTAGAGCTTCTTCAGGGTTGCATCATGGCCTCTGAAGCTGAAATAATCAAAATCCTTTGTAAAAGCATCTCACAGTTTTCTCATCATTTTTTTTTTCTTTTTTCAAAATGTGCTCTTGCCCCCTGTATTCAAGCTGGATTACCACTAGAGGAACCCAACTTGGACTAAATGGCTGACATGGTAGAAACTCTCAACAAAATTTGCTTGCCAAATAGAAATAATATATTCAAAATTAAAATCTGAATCGCAGAAACACCTACACTTTGCAAGAAAAAGCGGCAACAATTCCTATCGGAGAAACCCCTTACCCACCCTAATGTCAACATTAAAGATTATCTAATTCCTATGCCAGGTACATTGATTCTGTAGCTCAACTGAAACCCAATGGTATCCATTGACTATTCAAATTATAAGCCCCAACACTAGATACACAGAATAGAAAAGAGACATACTCAGTTGGCCCACTATTAAAAGCCTGTGCTCATCCTCAGCTCTTGGAGCTAACAATTCTTTTTTCTAACAGCATATATATTTGTTCTAGCATTTAATACATATAGATTGGCATGTTCAAGGAATAATTTTTGGATACAAACCAACACATCTCAGTGTGGCTAATTTAGGCTTCTCAGACACTCCATTAGATTCCCATAGAAAAGGTCAGGTATATATCTAAAATTAATCTGCTGATTGAACCTGCATTCCCATTTTGACATAAGGTCTGCCCAACCCCATTATCCTGTGGGAATGACAGTGTATTCAGCATTTTAGTCCATTATCTAGAAAAATTTCCTCTGTTTAGGGTAGAAGCTACTACTGCACACAAGGGTAGAAAATCTTGACAAAAGTTGACCAGCTTGTCCTAAAAGGAGGCAAACCACACACCAGAGTCTGTGGCTGTCACTTATTCTCTGTGGATAGAGTGTGAGTTAAAACTTGAGCCTTCTTAAGAATGATGGTGATACCTCATCCCAGTTCATACTTTTTCGTTCATAAGTAGCTGTCCTAATCCAGTTAACAAATTCTAATCCACTGTGACCCCTAAAATTAGCTTTGGTCATGTTTGAAAATCTTTGGACAATTTTCTGTTCGATAACAGCACATCTTTTAGTGTAAACTCCACATAACAATGGGATGATAATCAAGGTACCTGATATTTCATGATCTTCAGAACTCCCAAAGAGAGACTGAACATGGTAACAGCAGCTTCCTTTAAAAAAGTACTCCAAAAGCTAGGCGACTCTACCTCCCTCAGCTTCCCCAGGAAATCTTCCCTTAGGAAGACAGACACTACATTCATTCTTTTCACAGAAGAGATATTATGGTTTCTTATCATTTCCTGTCAGTTTATTGTTAGAAAGGAAAGTCAGATCCTGTATATCTGACTTGAACCCTCAGAATTTCATTCTGTTAATTCCCAAATGTGAAGTTATTTTCTTCAGATTAGTAGAAATTCCAGTATGGCCTACTTCATATATCTTCAAGGCACCTGACCAAAAGAATGCCTAGAGTATTCACAGTTGATGGTGGTTCATCCACCTGGATATTTATTGTACTGTCATAATGCTATGATGAGTACATGACTTACCAATTGCCTCTCTGGTAACTCATGCAGGCCACAATGTTGTATCTAAGAGATACTATACATTTTTTAAAAATCCTCTTTTTGATATGAACATACTGATTTTATGATGATAGAGTGAGAAATGCAATTTCAATACCCAGAAATTGGAAATTGCAAGGTATTTAAGAAAATGAGTATTAATAGAACAGACAACGAAAAACGAAAAACATCAATTTCAACTTATAAGTAGTTCAAATGGAAGCTGAGCTTCTTATATTTTTCCAATTACCCAACCACCAGTTTCTTGCCACTCCTTTTAACCATTCTGAGAAACTTATCAATTCCCTCTTCCTAGGATTCCCACTCAAAACATCTGTCAATGCCTCTAGATGTCTGTCCTCTTCCATTGCTGAACCTGATGCATTAATCCATTGTGCCTTCATTGGAGTGGTTAAATGACATTTAGCTGACCATGTGGGCCATTAGCATATGTTAAACTAACTCATGTTTTCAAGTCATCCTTCATAACAAGAACTAGGGTCACATATTCAAACTTAACTGAAAAACCTAATGTCAATTAATATTGCAGGGAGATATATTCAAGGTACTCTTTTTTTGCATTTTTTATTTTATTAATTACACTTTATTCATTTTGTATCCCCCCCATAAGCCCCTCTGTCCTCCCCTCCCGATCCCACCCTCCCTCCCCTTTCTGCATGCATGCCACTTCCCAAGTCCACTGATAGGGGAGGTTCTCCTCTCCTTTCTGATCTTAGTCTATCAGTTCTCATCAAAAGTGGCTGCATTGTCCTCTACTGTGGCCTGGTAAGGCTGCTCCCCCCTCAGGGGGAGGTGATCAAAGAGCAGGCCAATCAGATTATGTCAGAGGCAGTCCCTCTTTCCATTACTATGGAACCCACTTGGACACTGAACTGCCATGGGCTACATCTGTGCAGGGGTTCTAGGTTATCTCCACGAATAGTCCTTGGTTGGAGTATGAGTCTCTGGGAAATTCCCTGTGTTCAAATTATCTTGTTCTGTTGCTCTGCTTGTGGAGTTCCTGTCCCCTCCAGCTCTTACTATTTCCCACTTCTTACATAAAATTCCATTCACTCTGCCCATCAGTTGTCCATCAGGCTCCTGCTTTGACAGTCTATACTGCAGAGGCTTTCAGAGTACTCTTAATCCATGTCCAATAGCAGATAAGGATCCAAAATGAAAGGAAATGGTACATTTAGAAATCTTTGCCCTTCAGGGGCAGTCCATCTGACTATATGCTATGCTCTTCATGTAAAAGCTCAGACTTAATTTCCCTTCTTTTCCAAGCATGTTAACTTTCTCCATGGGAGAAAAAGTATTTGTACAAACAGCCCAAGGACAGGGAGCTTGAAGGATAGAAGAGGAAAAATTGGGAGGAAAAAGGGTAGGAACTTATACTGATAAAGGCTAGTTTCCAAAAACTAGATCATCTTTAGATATAGGTTATTTTGGTATAAAACGGATATAACCTCATTTTGTAGTCATTGTGTAAGGTTGAGAAAATAGCATTTTACCTAGAGCAGAAAAGTTAGAATGTTTCAAAGATGGAATGAGTAAATTTGCTGATTGTGGGTGTTCTGTAACTAGAGGCATTCAAGTATGCAATAGATGGTTATTTAGTCAAAGTATTTCAGTAGAAAGTCAAGACTGGGATAGATTCTATGATACTCCTTTTTTCCTCTGTTGCAATATGAGGGAGGTAATATTCCATATGGTTGTGTATACAATTTTTAAACACTGAAGTTTCAAAATATCTTACTTTTTAATGTACATATTCCTCTGCATCCTGCCTCTCTTCTTAATCACTTTAGAATTTTTAAGCAATAAAGCATGTCAGAAATCAACCAGCTCTTCCTAGGT